GTCCAATATTGGTCTATAAAAAAGGTTTCTAGTTGATTGACTCTGGCAATGGTTATTTTCTTATTTATTAATTAGTAACATTTTAACATGATTATATTTGCTTGACGTATACCATAGTAAATCATTACTTTAAAATAAAATATTAATGTTTAACCTAAATTGGAAACATTAAGTGGCAAAAATACTTAACAATAGTATTTAAAACAATTTTGTGACTAAAATATTACAACTTAAGTTAAACAAACATGTACCAGCCATCGTTTTAGAATTACATATCATTTAAATTTAAAATCCAAGGAAAAACCATTTCATTAATTTTTACATTGGTACTTAAATACAAAATGTAATAAGACCTAGTTCTTCTGAGCGTTTTGACGTCAACTAGTCGTGTTAGGAAAGTCTTGGACATATTCAATTGTAAAATATCTTATAGTTTTTCTGTMTTTTATTTATGGAATTCTTGAGTTATTAATTGAGTGTGTATAATTCTTTTAAAAAATGTCATTTCCTTGAGTAATACAATTCCATTGCAATTTTATATAAGGAAAAGAAGTGCATCAGTCTTTATACTCCTGAGCTATAAAAGGGTAATTCATGAATAATAAAACGCATTGTAAATATACATGAACAATAAATAACACAATACACATTTTACATTAAGTAAATAAGCAATATTATATATTTTTTTAATCATAATATTTTAATGTCACTTTATTTGATATAATTTATAATTGTGTTATAAAAATATTATGCTTACCTATATTATATAATTTAATGCTCAATGTGATCATTCTCACTCTCATTCTACATGATTTTATCAAAACAACATACTCGATTGTCATCAGTTTTTACTTGTTAATATTATCCGTAAAGTACTCAAAAGCGATCATTATCACAATATTATATAATATCCATTTGGAGATGAATTTTACTGTATATTTTATTCGTGTAAAGATTTAATTAAATTGTATTTTTTTTAAATTATCATTGGTATTTTCTTWATGAACTAATTTTCACCAAAAAAATTACACATACCTAACTTTTTAAGTTATAGTAAAGGAGATACCAACGTATCTACCGTAGTTCATGGAATGATCTGAATATATAATATTGTAATAACTTATTAAATTAGTTAACAATTCCGAAAACCTAATTTTGTATAGATAGTTATAATACACATTCGTAGTCTTGGAAGATGTTATGTCTCTACGTTTAGTATTTTTTGAATTTGTTACAACAAAATAACTTATATAGTTTTTTTCTTTTAAACATCAAATCCGGAAAAATTTAAGCTTCCAACAATTCACGTKATAACAGAAAAAGAGAACAATATTAAATATTAAAAAAATAATAAAAATAAACATAAAATGATAGTAAAAACAATATTATAATAATTGTTGTTAAGTATAAATAGGTGATATAATTATTTTACTTATTTAAATTTTTTAGTTTTTGTATTAAAAATTATAAATGTTTTAGCAGATCATATTATTGTAAAAAGATTTTAGTTCAGCAAAAATGTTAAGAAAATTACTAATGTATGTAGCCTTTGACACTAATTTAAAACATAAGTCAATCATGCCAATATCTATTTTAGCATAAACAAAATGTATGATATACTATGAGAAATATTTTTAAATACCTAGATAAGACGTTTATCATCATTAATATAGTATTTAATTAAGTAATATKTAATCGAACAAAATAAATATTATATCTGTTCAATTTTTGTGATTAAAACTGATTTTTCACCTCAGGTTAATCCAAATTATATTCAGATATTATTAACTTTGTATGATATCTACATTGGTATGTTGAAACTTTTGACAGTGTAAAACAATAATGATCACTTTGAACTTGAAAGTAATCATTATTCATTAATGGTAGTCATTATACTCKTATATGTGATTATCATTAAAAATATATTATATTATTTTTCTTTGCATAAACTTCATATTATTAAGTGATAAGCGCTCTCATAGTCTGAATAAATGTGGCCCAAATATTGATTTTAATTGATTACTGTTTTAATTCTATCGGTCTATAAACTTAATAATTTCGTAGTGTACAAGAATACCAGAGTTTGATAAATTCATAATTTCATGACAAGTTAAGCTCATAATCTTATCAAATCTTGAATACTTTAAAAATTGTGTCAACTGCAAAGTCATAATATTARTTACACCGACTTAATCATTTTATYTTTCGGAATGTACCTACATACAAATACGATATCAGGAAGGTACTATGGGTATAATAAATAACTCGTAATAGATAGACGTCAAATACAATTAATAAGTTTGATACGCACAATAATTTTGATGATTTAAAATAATGTATTCTTGTGCGTGTGTATTAACAAATTAGTTGTACGACATTGTGAGTGCTAATGATTATAAACATTGCTGTAAAAAATAATAAATTTCAGACATCAATATTGAAATCGAATGACTTTTTCCGGAAGAATAATTAATTTCAATGTACCGTCGTGTTTTTTATTTCTTGATTTCCAATAAACGGTGCTCATTYAAATAATACTCGTACAATAGAATATGTTGTACTTGTGAGTGAGAAATTTTCCGAGATTATTACATCAATAAAAAAATATTTCTGAGATTTAATTCAATGGCTAATCGTGAAGACAGCATATAAGTACTTGTATAATTTAATCCTAACCACGCATATTATTCAAGACGTGTTTCATTAACAACTTACATGTTTATAACCTACGTACATAAGTGTGCATAATATTATACGATTACTTGTCGCAGAGGCGTATTCAGCTTATAATAAGCGATTGAGTAGAAACCGTTGTGGAAGAGGGGGGGGGATTTTTAACTTTTGGTTACTTTCTGTTCTGTAAGTAAAATGTTCGATTTTTTTTTATAAGCACGCGTTGCCCATACAAGATCGTCGATATTCAAATAGTCAAATAGAAATTCAAAAATTAAACTACAAATTCTAATTAGTAACCAATATTGATTAAATTCGATAAACAAATTCAATCATTATTATTGGTACATAAATTTAAGTAGACACCAGCCTACTGTCTAATATCCATTTATTCGATTATTAGTATTTATAGACATTGGAATAATTCATATCGAAAACAAACCAATAATTTTTAAAATATAATTTACAATCATTAAATAAGAAGTTTTTTACAAAGTTAAAGGTATTTGTTATTCTTTCAAATTCGTCTGTCACAATATATTTTTAAGTATTAGAATCGTTTATCAATAGTCATTCATTGTTTAATTAGGATGCTTATTTCAGAAGTTAGTAAATGCACTGATTATAGAGTGATCTGAGTGGATATTATTATCGTATGCACCGGAGGTAGAAAGATATCGAGAGAGATCACTTCGATCAGTTTTCGCGAATACTAAGAAGCATGTGTCTCGTTGACGTGCATGCAAGATAGTTAATAGTTAATTATTATCATCCCTAATAAACGAAAAAATAACAGCATAACAAACGTATAATAATAATAATATGATGATGATGATGGTTTTACACGATAGAAATAAAAATATGTTTGACTGCTAGTCGGTGTCGGAGAGATGCGAAAAAACAAAACTTTATATATATAATGTAAAATTTATTTTCAACAAGTAAGCCATGAAGGTCGCTCGATACAACATTGTCACCGTTGATGATATTATTGTGTGCAAGTGCCGCGTGTTGTCGTTGTCATTTCCGTACCGGCGCTAAAAATATCGTTTTTATAAAAATACTCCTACTGTAGGAAACTTTTTCTGGGAAGGGCAAAAACTTTAAATCGTCCAAAGCGTGTTGTTATTATCAATACGTCCCTACGTTACTCGTGCGGTTGACGAATTTGTTCGTCTCGGTAATATCGTTTTTCCAATCACACCGCCGCCGACGTCACTAACTCGCTCTCGTGATTTTCGCGCTCGCGACCGATGAAGTGACATCCTACCGCCTGTCTAAACTGTACGCGAGTTTAATGAGACCACGTGCACTTGGCTACAACATTTTATAGGATTCCAAAATTTCACATATCTTCTCATAACAAACATATTAATATTTTCTGAAAAATTACAATTAATGATAATTATATTGAATACTATTTTTTCCAATCCAACTGTATCAATAAAATCAATGTTTAATAGTGGCGATAACAATAACTATATCGCCCGTGTCTGTAGAATCACTGAAAAATATAAAATATGATTGTTGCAGCAACTTTATTGTTTTCAAACAAACTGAACGGTGCAAATCGTTCATCACATAATATTATGTAGGTGCCATGAGAAGTACTGATAGATTTTATATAACTAGGACAGTAGGACGCCTGCAAGTGCACTCGGCCCCAGATTCGGTTTGATCGTGCAAAACGCTGCGGGTGATGATCGCTAAGATCCGTTAGTGGAAATTCGCCGTTCTTCGGGAGCGTTTCGCGACAAATTTCGTTGGGCACCCGCAGTGCCGGACAACCGTCCTGCCTCGAGATCACGCACCGTGCACGAGGGTCCGCCGTCGCTCCGGTGGATAGCGCTACGCGCGCGCGTTCGCTCGCCCACACCGCCACCGCCGCCCGACCTGCCGTTCGCGCGCGCGCACACAACCAGAGCAACCGTGGTCGCCGCCGCCGACGTCGCACCAGCTCGTACGAGTCGGTGCCAAACAGCCGCGAGCCCGCAACGCGTTCACTGTTCTCGCTCCCGCCGTTGTCGCCGCATGCTCGTTTATGCGCAAAAAGTACATCGACGACATTTTACTATCGTCATCGCCGCCCCGAGACGTGCTAGACATTAACCCGCGGAGTCGCCGCCGCCGGCTGACATAATATTATCATTATTATTATTATTATTTTTATCGTGTGCCCGAGCCCGACACCAAACCGCGAGCGCTGGTTTCTTCGCCGTGCCGTACTCATCTCACATAACCCCCCTATTTTGGCCGTCTAACGGTTGCACAAATACATTGTACAATATCTGAAAAGCCGGACCAACCATGGATTTGTCGGTTTTCAGTAGCATGCTGTCGGTCAACGGGCCGAAGGGCACCAGACGAGAGGGCAAGAAGTTCAGACAATACGCCGCCGCGCTGTCCAGTAAGTACCCATCTCATACATCTATATAATATATATCAATATCATTAACTTTAATTTATAATTTTCCAATTTTGTACTACTTGCATGTTATGATATTAATACTATTCTCAAGTGTAAGGATGGCATCCCCTTTCCAACCCTACATTCCGATGTATAGGTACCAAAGGCCCTCCCGTARCAAGTCGTCGGTGGTCGGGTGGCGGGGACCGATAGGTCGGGCTTGCTTTACGCGCAGAGAGCGCCCCTCGAACCCCCCCGCAACCTGTTTCTATTATAAATTATAATGCGTGTACCAACCTTTGTTGTAACCACGTCGTGGAGATTACGACCACGATATTATTGCTGTTTGTGTATAATAATGGTTACGATCTGGTCGGGCAAAAACCGGTCTGTCTGTGGGTAGGTAGATTACCATTATTATTATTATTGTTGTTGTTATTGTATAATAATAATAWTATACCTGCCTACCTACCTCGTATACACGTGCAAGCAGCTGCTGCTAGCCGGGACAATGGATTTTCTGTCCGTCTGAGGCTGTGTCAGGGAACGACGGCTTTCCTATTTTTACCCGCACTCACGTCATCAGTCGCAATCGTACTATTGTGTTTTTAGACTGTGGTCGGTTCACGCTCACTGGCCAGCTACAGTAGTGGCCGACACCCGAAACTGTCGGTTTTGCTGGTTAGGTAAAACGATTAGGGCTGTCACTTTGTCACGTGATCAGGTTCACACGCCGATTTGGTAAATTTCAAAATTGAAAAACAATGGTTGGCGACAGTAGATAGAAAAATTATTACTCTTGTGAATCTTTACTTAGGAAAATTCAGTATTACTATCTAACTGTCGTCCAATATTGAGATTATAATTAGTTTTCGTCAAGTAGAGTAGGAATTTACCGCAACCGAATATTTTTCAGTATACAAATTAGCAACGTGCTAGGAGGTCGTTGTCGGGTTACCCTCTCGACTAAAACACAACCGGGAGAATCTATAAATAGTGAGTCAGTAGACATTTCATGACACAAATGGCCGACTTGTTGATTATCCCCCGTCGTCGGTTCCAGGAGGGTTGAGACTTGACGTGCAACATGCTCATAACTACTGGGTGCGACTAGGACACAGACATAGGGTACTATAACATCGTACACAACGATGATAATATTTTAGTTATACGACACGACACGATGACGAGGCGCGGGAACTAATATGGCTATAATAATAATAATTTTTCTATCAAGTCATGTTTATTATAWTATTATTTATTAGATGAAGGATAGGGCGAAGACGACTACTATTTCGTATGATTTCATTACAATATTATATTAAACGTCGCCGAGTGTAATATTATTATAACGATATTGTGTGCGTTGTTGTCGCGGGGAATATTTTGTCGTCATTGAGCAACGACATGATTCAGATGTCATTGAACGCCGTGGCATTATCATTTCATATTATTGTCTTGTCGATTTACGACTGTTTACACTTCACGGCCAACCAATGCGGTGGTGTGAAGTTTCTGGCTAAAACGTTAGAGAAGAACTCAACTGTCGTCCGATGATAACCCGCGCGTATTTAATGTGTGATGTAGGCGAATTACTTAACATAATGCCAACGCACCTCGCAGTAATAATATTRTTGCCGTTTACGTTATCTGTGCTTATTTATTATCGTCGTTATTATTATAATTATGTTGTAGTTAAAATAATAAAATTAATGTCGCCGTTTTTGAAATGAGTCTAAACAATTATATAAGCACCTACGTGCAAAATAAAATAATAAATAGATATCGAGTTATGCGTATTGGAAAATTAATAACCTACAATATATACCTACCATTATAGGATACATTTTTTTCAGTCCGGTCAAGCCAAGAGTTCGACTCGATCGTACTGAATATTAATATTGCTGCTATCCATTGAAATCAAAAGACATGTTTAGATTATATAATTTATTACATTATACCTACTTTTTATTTATTGTGTTTTAATATTAATTATTTTCAGACAAGTATCGTAACAAATTGWACCGAGCTAATCCAATTTTTCCATAATGTCAAGAAGTTTAAGAAAACATATTTTATTAAATTCCATTTAGGGGTAGTGCAAGACGTAGGCTTAGACATGAAATCGTTAATTTTTCGAAGTTTGCCAGAACCCTCTATTCAATGAGTTTTTAACTGTCGGCGTAACGGGTAAGCCGCGTACTCAGCAGTTGACCGAGGTCATTGCAGCGTTCAACGAGGGAAATCCTTTTATTTTAAACTCAGCACCATTATCCGCTTCCCCTTAAATCGTTTTGTACAATTATTGTAAAAGCCTTTTAGTCCGTTGCCCTACCGAGATCGAAGCAACCTATAACCGCCTGAATTATGTTTGACCCCTTACAATGGTATAAATATTGCACAGTGAATTATGTGTGTATATGTATAATAGTATTAAATACCACTTCGAATACCTACTACCGTGACAATAATAACTATGCGAACTATACACTCTGTATCTCCTCCATATCTGAAGTAGCAGATTTAGGATTGAATTCTAAGGGGGAGGCCTTTAAAAAAAATACTTTTATTAAATGTATTCACTTTTGGTTAATATCGACGAAARAGATTAATGGTTTGTACTTTTGTAGCGGTTTGTAGCGTCTGGATCCGCCAGTGGCCTACAGATGGTTTGATTTCAGAAGTTCCGATGGTCTTTTGTATAATGTTTTAATATCACTTCATGGTACATTGCCACATTGATACCATATAATATTTTTTTTATTCGTTCGAACGGTTGACGATTTCTTACACTACGATCGCATTTCAATTGGCGGATAGTCTGTTACCATAATATATTATGTTGATATAATAATGTAATACATTTTGTTCAAACGGCTTAAACACGAAATTAATATTGCCTGCAATAATAATATAATATAGCTTAATACTCTACGTAATAGCTGTGCACTAGACGAGGTGCTCTAAGACGTTTTTAGAGATAGTGAAAGTAAACAGTAAACATTATTCAAGTACGCGTTACTTTCTGTATAGGTGCACTATGACATACATCGCCCAACTGCGGTTAGAGACGAGCTTAAAGTAGACTAGACTAAAGACATCGCTAAATGAATATACACGTGTTGCCGTTACCACGACGATGGCGATCACTGTGTTTTCTATTTTACCATCTACCTAAATGCATTTAAATTTAAATATATAAATAATATGTACTTACACGCTATAATTATACGGATAAAAACCAAAGAGATTCGTAACAGTTAATCAATGTGCGCACATTTGTAGTGGACTTGTGATTATACACTTATACCTATAATACTGTACACGTTCAATAATGTCAGTGGGTAGAGGTAGTTTTAGCTGTACGTATGATTTCTGTACACGTAACGTTTAGTATTTACGTAGGTATGTCGAATGACCGATGTGTGTGTGTGTTTTTTTTACTGTACAAAAGCAAAATTATTGCTTTATTATCGATTCCATAATATTGTCAACGTTTTGAGTGGACCGTGGGCGTTGTCATATTATACATTGGAGGTATGAATAGCGAAATCTGTAAATCATTATGAAGGAAGTAGATATCGTATAAAATAATTATTAATAATTATCYAACGAAGAGTAGGAGCAGCTTATTGCAAACCCGACAAATAACATTTCATGAGTAATATTTATATGACACACGTGACGGTGCGACATACACTAATAATATATTTTAATCTCACTCCTATAATATTGTTTAGTTTTAAACCGTAATAATACGCACAACGCACACTGCACATCAGTAGATCGGGACAACAAATAWATTGATTAGCTAATGCCTAATTGAATATATCGTAAAAATATATATTAATTATACTAACAATATAAATACGATAATGATAAAATTACTATCTATTAGTTTGTCATCGCAGTTTATGTAACACTATATTTTAGGTCACCTTAAAGCTTATGCTCTTAAGGTTATATGGTAGGTACCTACAAATTGATTAGGTTATATTCATTACAATGATATTTTAAATTTTTATAAATGCCAAAACAACCGTCTAAACTAATATAATATAGTATTGTATTTATTATCAATTATTGCTTTATAAATATTTGATCAAATAAATGTTTTCATCTTATAAATTACTGTAACTTGTATAGAGTTAATTTGTTGAAAGAACTATAAATCAGTGAGAATCCTTTATTTCATTAACTCGAATAGTAACTAGGTACATTAATATGTAACATTATATATGTAGTAAACGTTCAATCAATCTCTTAATTTTGTACAATAATATGTTTGTTCTTATTTAGATAGAATAACAGTATACGTTTATTCTGATCAAAAATAAAACAAAATTATTTAAAAATAATTTACTGTGACTTAATTTTTTCCAATTAATTTGGATGACGTCCAAGTATAATCCAAACMACAAGATTATAATTCTAAGATTTTGATATTAGATGGTACATTATGTCTGATCCGTTTTTCAGAAATTTAATTTATCCAACATTTTCCTAACTTGATTAGGTATAATGCGTTTTGTTGTTAGCTCAAGAGCACGACGAGTGACTTATATTCATAAATCATAATGCATCGACGTGTTCCACTTTTCTCTCGTATTTCGTATTTTTTATTCGAAAYCTATGATTAAGTATAATTTCATATAGGTATTAAGTTAAGAAAATATAGAACATAAGCTTACAAAACGATAACTTTAACTAAACTGTGTCAAGTGCGATATTTCTGTACCACTTCATGTCAATATATATTTAGTATTTACACGAAAAATGAATGATGACATTCAAAATATTTGTATAGGTATGTAAACACATCATTTTATTAGGTATATAAAAATGATTTTCATTTAAAATGTTCGAATTGGTTTTATGTCGTTTTTAAACTCATTATTTTTTTGTATATAAAAATGATTTTCATCTATAATGTGGTCTTATTAATTTTTAATTACAAATATTTGCTCATTCATAGTTATATTTCAATATCCACTAGGCAC